ACAGACAGACAGACCTCTTTGCTCATGCTCAGTCTGACGTGTAGCGGTTTCTCAGACATCAGGAACTCAAAGGTGGTTTCAGTCTCTGGGACCAGTTCACTGAGTTCTGGACTGAACTGGATCTTACGGATGCTGAGGTGGACTGAATTCCTTCAGAAACAATAATAATAATGATAACAATAACAATAATAATAATGATAATAATAATAATAATAAAACGAATGACTCGCTGTTTGTTCTTGTCGTCCTGGTTTTCTCCACAGAAAGCTTTCACTTCAAACTCCACCGCACATTTCTGTCACATAGACAACTTTTTATAATTAAAGTTAGTATTATCAATATGAAGTACTGGTTGTATTTAAATGTATTGGTGGTATTTATTTAAATGTACTGGTGGAGTTACCTTCCCCACATCAGACGGTCCCGGCTGCAGAGCAACAGAACACGGCAGGTTGTCTGGAAACTGAAACAAACACCGATTATTTATTACATCATCATTTATGGTTGAAGGGTCTGTTACAGGTGTCTGTGACATCACTGTTCTTGGGTCTGCTCAGGGTTCTGTTAAAGGGTCTATTCAGGGTTCTGTTCAGAGATCCGTTTAGGGTTCTGTTCAGACTTCTGTTTAGGGTTCTGTTCAGACTTCTGTTTAGGGTTCTGTTCGGGGTTCTTTTAAAGGGTATTGTTAGAAACTGCATGCCGTTTCCCCTCCTTCCCAACCTTTGAATATAAGGGGATTCTTCAGGACTGGTAGATGGGTGGACTGGTAGGCGGGTGGATAGGGGGACTGGTGTATAGGTGATCAGGATCCTCTTCACACACAGAACCACCTGTGTGTGAAGAGCTGTAGCTGAGGTGATGTCTGAGCTGGAGGACGTGGGATGCTACATGTCTCAGCGTCTCACCTCAAAGAAGAAGGGAAAGGCGTTGTCTCCCAGCTTCAGGAGCAGCTTCTGCTGCATCTTGTTGTGAGTGAGCTTCTCTTTGTCCTGCAGCTCGGGGTAAACCTGCCGGGTCACCAGGAACAGGTCCCTCCTGAAGGCCACGCCCATCACATCCACGTCCTGGTGGCCGTACCGGAACGTACACGACAGCATCACGTAGACTAGAAACACATCACGTCCACAGACCGGCAAAATCAGTTTCTGAATACTTTCAGATTAATGTTTATTCTATACAGTGAAAAAACAAGTTATGTTCAAGTAGCCACACCACAACGTAAAAATACTCCAGTACACAAAAACAGGAATAAGCAGTACCACTAATGACCACTAGATGCTGAATCCACAAAAGTTCCGACTCTTAGTCTTTTTCCCCAACAACCAATCAAAAGAGTTACTCAATAAAAGTTCCTCTTCAGGATCTTTTTGTCTTTAAGAAACAGTTAAAGGGTAAAAATACATAACGGCAGCACAGTAACAGTCTGGACAATCTGACCCGTTATTCAGACACAAATGCTTTTACCTCTAAAAACTCCACCATAAACCAGCAGACTGCATGAGACCAGGATCCGGCTGACACACTAAACTTTTTGTGACTTAAAAAATAATAGAGAGAGGAACTGAGGAACAATACGATCTGTGAAAAGCTGCTGACGAATCGGACTCAAACCCACGAGTCTCCCTTTACACAGTTTACCTTTACTTGTTTTGCTGTATAAATGTGTTAGTTTGTCTGTTTACGAGGGTTTTGTACACTTTCCCAGAACAGAAATTGAAATGTCTGCCGACTTCCTGTTGAGGCACATATTTTATGAATTGCTCCCGTTGCCCCACCCTGAGCTCTACTTCCTCTTTCCCTTCTGGACTTCTCTCTGGATAGGTTATGTGGACGAGAGTCTCTGGAAGTGTAGAATTTGGAGTTTGACCACAGACTGTATTCAAAGTGGATGAGTCACCATGACGTGTCCCTTTGGTTTGTGGACTACCGTTCTGAAGCCTCAAGTTCAGCTTTTTGGTCGTCGCCATCTTGTTTTTTGGAACAAGAAGTGTCACTAGAGGGCGGAGTTAAGTACAACCGAAAACCAAATACATTTTTAAGACCAAAATGTTAAATTTAACATTGATTAAGTGAAAACACGCTGTGAAAGAGTTACATTTGTAAGAGGAAAAGCAACCAGACCTGTCAATCACAGTGTAGCCCCACCCTAAAGCATCCCCTGCTTTATGGTCTGTTTGACTCTAAATGGACCATAATGTACTAAATGAACATCATGCTGTATTGAAGAAGACTTGAAACTAGAGATTGAGACCATAAACTCATGTTTACTGAGGTAATAAATCAAGAGAGAAGTAGAGTCATTTTCTCATAGACTTCTATACAACCAGAGGAGTCGCCCCCTGGTGGACACTAGAGAGAATGCAGCTTTAACACATGAAGAACCGGAGGTTGTCTCCTGGGTTAGACCCACTATAGTTACAGTAAACTTCGTCAATAGTCTGCAAGTCCATGTTGTGTTTTCAGCGAACTGTTTTAAGAATTGGAGATAGTTTTACATGGATGAACAAAGTAATAAAATGTTGCGTACAAGATCTCAGCATGTCTACACATTGACTCATTAAGATTCTGTGTTACTGAGCAGGTATATCACGGACCACGGATTAGACTTTTAGACATTTTGGACCATTTAATGTTCGAGTATTAACTTGAATGAGTGGACATAAAAATGAAAAAAAAAAAAAAAAAAAATCAAAGAATGAGTCGCATGTTCTTTAGTGAACAAACGGATTAAAGGGTCACTTACTAAAACAATCATCTAAATGTATAATAAATCTATAAGTCTTTTATGTTGTTTTCCACTCATAACATATTGTTGTTTGAGTTCATCACATTACATATCAGAGATTATAATACTTTTATCTATTGATGTGAAATCATTCTGATTATGTTACAACAGTAAAACATACCTTTCTTTCCTTTAAGCTGCAGCGGGTCGATCACAATAACTCCGTCTCAAAGGGACAGAAAGAAACAGCGACTGTTAACTGGAGAGAAGTTTCTGTCTGCAGAAGAAGAACTGATCCAACATTTAACATTTGATCCGTTTTAGTTTCTGAACATGAAGGTAAGATAGAGATCAGTGCTATCTTTGCGTAAATAATTTAAATCTGCTGCAGGACTCACTGCTCGCCAACACATTTTAAATAAAGTTCAAATGATCAAATGAAAAATCAAATGATCAGAAACAAGAGGTCTTTAAGACCCTGGTCCACCATGTATTTAGCCTAGCTTAGCACAAAGACTGGAAGCAGAGGCAAACTGTTAGCCTAGTTACATCACAACAGTTAAAACAAGTGTGACCGACATGCAAGTTGTTCGCTCCGTCAGACATAAACCTGATGGGACAACAGATGTGAATTAGCTGGAAGCTAACTCTGGTGTCTATAGTTCACTTTGAACTCACCGACAGGATCCACGAAGTCACAGTGATCCACAAAGTCTCTCTTGGTCATGTAGACCGCCACCTGGAGCACACAGGAGGTTCAGAGGTATTGCCAGTTTAGTTTTATTGGACCTTTGAACCCTCGAGTCACTAAATCTTCCAAAAGACTCCCCAACATTGAGGACTCTGGTTCTTCTACTTTTACTCGACGAGGATTTCTGCACAACTTACCGACTTGTCGCGGGACGCTTTCTTAAAGACGACATGTTTGGGACTCATGTTGATGTCACGACCTGCAGTACGGAGAAACCCGACATGACGACTCATCAGTTAACATTCTAACTAACAGACACGTTAAACCAATAGAACACCTCAGGCTCTAATGACTTTAACAGTTCTGTATTAAAGTCTATTCTAATTCAAATCAAACTGCTTTCTTTCACCAACTGGACAATCAAACAAAAAGCCAGATTCATAAGTTCACACGTTCAACCCTCACAGATTGGAGTTCACTATGAACCTTGTGAGTTCTTTAATGTCTCAAACTCAGACTCCAGAGTAGCTCTGATCTTATCTTCAGCTAAACTTCTGAATAGATGTTTGTGTCGTTCACATTAAATTAAATGAACTCTGTCTGTGGTCAGTATGAATAATAAGACACTCAGTAAACAGTCCTATCATCTTAACTTGTGACACAGAAACAGAAGACACTGACCTGAGAGCAATGTGTGTTGAGCAGCAGCAGATTTCTAACAAGTGATCCGACCGATCAGAGCCGCATTTATAATGACCGCTCACATATCCGCCTGGTCAGCATGCTGCTCATTACCCACTGAACGCACACTCAGCTAATCCTGCACCAACAAACGTGGAGATCTGCAGGTACAGGAGGCGTTCGCTGTCAACAGGAAATCACAGCACTTCTCTGACAAAACACTGACAAAGATGGTTATTCTCACAAGACCAACAATTACCGTTTGTGGCTTTAAACTCCTCACGTTTAAACCCACGTACCTGCACGTCTCCTCACGTTTAAA